TAGAATTACATGCTAGAAAGGTAACTTTTTCCCGTGCAAAAGTTTTCTGAATAAGGGAAATTAGTTTATCATTGATTAATTTATGTGGCAAAGTTGTATAAAGTGTAGAAAAATCGTATGTACTGACAGTTGAAGCTTGAAAGTTCTTAATTTTGAATTTATCCAAGATTTCACCAGAATTTTTAATTGACCAAAAGAGATGTTTGCTTGTGTTTTCATAGACTTTATCACAATATCTAATAACATGTGTTTTAATGGCAGTCAAACAAGACGTCAATAAAATAGAAAGTTTACTTGTAGTGCAAGATGTAGAATTAGCCATAAATCTGGCTTTGTAAGGTTTTTTATGTAATTTAGGAATCCAATACGTAATAGGAAGTTTGAGTTCTTTTTCATTAATTTGGACTTTCAGATTGGAAATATTAGTAAAATGATTAAAAGACCGCCTTAGAATGTTACAGTCAAAGTTTAGTGAACATCCATTATTTATTTTGGAAGTAGGAAATGTTTAAAAGTTTTTCCTATTTTCAGCTCTGTTGAGGTCAATTGTAATGAAATGAGCAAATTTAAGTGTGACTGTCACAAGGATGCTAGAGACCAAATTTGAGGTAAATCTGCCATATAGTATTTGAGGAGAAAATGATTGTTGACGCATATCGACGGACGACGAACGACGGATCTAGCAGGGGTTAAGGAGCATATTTCGTTTAAAAATAAAAAATGGTAAACAATTGACAACAGACGACAAACACTGGGATACCACAATAGCACACCTTGAGCGCGATGTGGTCAGGTTAGCTTAAGGGGATCAATAAAGTTACAGTCAATTACAGTAACAAAATATGAAAATTAAAAAAAATGACCTTCAAAGTCAAAGTCATAAAGAGAAGAGTAAAGGTCAGTCTGATTTACATAAGGATTGTTATGATCAAATATAAAGACAATTCGCCAAAAATCCCTTAAATCATGATCAACATACACTTTTGCGGACAGGAAAGCCGAAATGACTGTAACAATATCTAGATTTGTTATTTTTAAAAAGTCGATCTAAAATTACAAAACTTTTAAAAATGCACATTAAATTTCTTCAAATAATACTTATTTCCTAGTTTCTAAAAATTAACAAACTAATTGATTTAAAAATTCAGACGTCTTATTACAGTCCAATGCCACACCAAGGTGTTTGTTTCATGTGAAACAGTTCCCCTTAAGGTAGAGATACGACACACTTACCTTTGATATTGATAGATAAAACGTGTTAACGCATAATTTCATTTAAGACTGGTTCCACGATAATAAATCTTCCACTTACCTTTGATATTAACAGTTATAGTAAAAAATCAGTGAAATGTCAGCATACATGTACATATAACCTTGAAGGTAAGTTTAGTTTGGTGTATTTATATCAAAATTTTACATGCAGTTTGATCTATGAACACTTGACACGTATTTCTTACTCTAGCTCTCGCGGCTATTCTGTGCGGTGAAACGAAACGTTCCGGCTAGATGAGCAAGTAGGGTTGGTACCTATCACTTCTGTACAGTTTCAGCAAATTTCCCCCAGCAGTTTGTCCTATGACAGCCAGTCAATTTTGTTTCTCTATTTTTAGCTTTGGTGTTAATTTTGTGCAGTGATGTTGAATATGCCCACACTTGGCACAATTGTGATTTGTACTGATAGCTCCTGTGACGTTTTGTCCCAATCCAATAAGCAGTTTGGCAAGTGAAAGTTGGACACGAATTTTCCATTTTTACCTCTGGTGGTCCTTTTGTGCAGCAAAGCAGATTATGCTGGCGATATCCACAACTAAGGTAAGTACCATTACTATAGTTAAAGCGAATTGTCATCACAACTTTGGATTGTGGTGGCAGCCGGAGATGTTTATTTAAATTTGGCGGCCATTTTGTGAAGCCAAGCGGAACGTGCCAGCGATTTGCACAACTAGGGTTTCTACTGATAATTCCTCTGAAGTTTGGTCGGAAACCTGAGAGTGGTATGACCTGTAAAAGCCGATCAATGATTTTCTATTTTAAGATTTCATGGCCATTTTGTGCAACGATGCAGAACTTGCTAGTAAGATTCACAATTAGGGCTTGTACAGCTGACTCTTGGGAAGTTTGTCGAAATCCTGCCAATAGTTTGACCACTGAAAGTCGGACAATCTATGTATGTCTCTGCTGGTCGGTTTTGCAGCGAAGCTAAACGTGCAACTAGGTATGGTACTGATCACTCCTGTGAAGTAATGTTGAGATCCAGTTAGCAGTTTGACCTGTGACAGATTATTTTTTAATTAAACGAACGTGCCGGCGATAAGCACAGCTTTGGATGGTACTGATTACTCCTGTGAACATTCAATTAAATCCCATTACAAGTTTGACCTGTTAAAATCGGACAAGCTTTTTCTATTTATAGTATCGGTGTCAAAGGAAGACACAATGTGCCCTTTGGTCATTATTACACGAGCAGGCACCTGGGTAGATCCATCGCCCTTCCGTAAGCCAGCTGGATGGCTTCCTAACATGAAAGATTTCGACCTGAGTGAGGATCGAACCTACAGTGGTGAGGGACCTGTGATCTCAAGTCAGCGATTTTAACCTCGATAAACACATAAAGCTTTGTGCTTTTATCATAAGCTAATTCCTCCACAAACCATAACTGGGTCAGCTTATACAGATCCCATTCCATTATATTACAGAAGATGCATTTTCATTGAAATTTTTTACAATTGAGTACGTCTGTAAGATGATTCTAAGTAGAATATGTTTTATATTTCCTAATTGGTGAAAACACATCTCATCTGTCTTGCTTTTTAAATTATAGATGGTACATGGTACATATTTGCCTCCTAATTGCATGCACACGCATCAAAACTTCGTCGGTGAATGACAGTCTAGCATTTAAAATGTTGTTATTGAGACGTAGATATCCGTTGCCTAGTTTCCATAGGTATAAGGTTTTGTAACTCTAACTACAGTATATAGCAGCCAACAGCTTCAGATATGCATAGTTAAGGTGTCTGGTGTTTTGCCCTGTAATTTGGTACAGCACCAATTTTCACTTTCAATAAAATGTCATGTGCTCTAGCGACATCATTGTGCATGTTTTTCATTTATGGCACGGACATAGTGATCTCTTATATATTCAATGTTGCATAACACATGTTCATTTCTTGCATAACACATGTTCATTTCAAAATAAATAAGAATGCAATTGCATTGGTGACTTCTTATACATCCAATGTTGAATAACGCATAATCATGTGGAAATAAGCATAAAATGTCCACAAAAAACAAAGTAGATTACAAATAGATATATATATCTCTTAGATAATAGATTGCAATATATTTGCAAATTAAAATCAAGCTTTTTGTAGGTACACTGTTTTAATCACAATTATTGCCGATCAAAACCGTAAATCATTCAATGGCACAATACTCGATAAGAGTTAGTAGGAAATGTTGTATCATTTGTTGTTAATATTACGAAAAATTCAATCATTTATTCGCAGCACCAAAATGGGCAAGGTTTTATGTTTTGTTAAACCAATCGTCCCATTTTTTAATTCAGTTTCCCTGTTAAGATACATATTTAATTGGCTTACTATCATCGTTTGTATTTCAACGTGTATAATGTATGTAAGGTATACTACAAATGTATACCAATAATTGTTGTACAACCCTCAACAAAGCTGAAAAACAACAACAAAGTTTTTGAAAATATCTGATTTAGATCTGATAGGATTTGTTTGTTAATAACAAGAGCCAACGCCGGGCGGGGTAACAAATAAATGGTTTAAAAAAATAAAGAGAAAAACAAGACATCCAATACGCCGATATGACTGTAACATTTTTTAATCAAAGAACGACAAACTACGTTGAACATTTTTCTCATAACATTGGGTTCAAATTCAATACGAAATACCCCAAACTGGCGTTGCTAGAATTTTACTAAATAGCATCACTGTGTTTCCTGGGCATATTAACTAATCGTCTTTTTTAATTTCCTTGTCGGCTTCTATAATTTGCTATTATGTATTATTTAAATTGACACCTCGTCCATGCTTTGCCTCGGGCTCTGTCCTGTTTTGTTAGGTATCCTGCTGTGCATCTTGCTGGTAGTTCCATGTTGCGGTGTGGAGATGGGCTCATCTAATGCCACCCATCCTCGTTGATCTTGTTTTGTCATACTCTTTCACAATGGCAAACTTCTTGAGTGAGTGCCCTCTCTTGAAATTAATGTTGATCCACTTTATCTTGCACATAACATTGTCCGAACGTTCAGTTTTGGCTCAGCACAAAACAGTTCAAAGAGCAAAATTAAAAATGAATCACTAACATTTATTCAAAGTGATCAAGTCATTGACAAGTTTGAACGAGCCCTCACAAATGTACTGGAGCCAGCACTTTTATACAGTAAATGTTGACAATGTGGAAGTATGCCGATCAATATGCATTTATAGTCCTTATTGCATGAGTCTATAAAGACTCACTTTCATGAAATGGTTAAATGTTGTGTTAAGCACGAAAGTAATTTCGTTAAAGCATTGTAGCACGATTTTAAAAGTTTGTTGGATGCTTTATTACATGTAAGCATTACATTTTTTAACAAGATCTGTAAACTTTTTATTGCCATTGGGCCAAGGAGAGGGTTAGGATCATGTTCCATGCAAGATAAAGTGGTAAAAAATTTACTTCACGGTAGGGATATCACTTAAGTTGTTTCTTCGTGTAAACGAAAACAGACAAGTTGATATTTCATTCCAGCAACGTCCATTCGAGTGTTCCGTATCGGATAACATCCAAAATGATGTTCTACGTGGCAAAGCATTCATCCTTTATTTAAAAGACAAGCATGTTCTTTCAAATCGTATGTTTACCTTCCCTAGCTTTATTTTGGCGGGGATCTTCAAAGGGAGTGTCAAGGGCTATAATTTAAACATGTAAAAGAGCCATTGTGATATCATTAACGAAGGTGGTACATTAATAAATCTTTTTCTTACCTTCTTTCTTCTTTTGATACGTATCCTCAGAGATCTTAGCATTGGCATCGCTTCCTCTTGCTGCAAACATATTTCAATAAGCATAATACATGACGAACAACTCGAAGAAAATTAACATATAAGTATGATCTTTATTGCCAAGCAAAATAGAAATTATAAAAATTATTTGAATAAATTAAATGTATGGACAAAATGTTTTTAACGTACTTTTTGTAATTTTTGATTAGTTTATGTTTGTAAGAAAAGGCTTAGATAACTGAAGTATTATCTTACATTTTTCTGCAGCTTTTTGTATCTCCTTTATTGCATTTTCTTTTTCTTTGTTGACTTTTTGAACGCCATCATTGGTAACACTTTCAATGGTTTCTTTACCTTTCCTTGTCTGACTGTCTATCTCTTGAATAGATTCAATCACCTTAGCATCAAAAGCATCAATGGACGATTTCAATGCGGCATCGTTACCTCTTGCTGAAAACATATTTCAATAAGCATAATGCATGTCAAACTCGAAGAAAATTAACATATAAGTATGATCTTTATTGCCATGCAAAATAGAAATGTTTGAATAAATTAAATGTATGGACAAATTTTTTTAACGTACTTTGTAATTTTTGATTAGCTTATGTTTGTAAGAATATATGTAGGCTTAGATAACTAAAGTATTTTCTTACATTTTTCTGCAGCTTTTTGTATCTCCTTCATTGCATTTTCTTTTTCTTTGTTGACATTTTGAACGCCATCATTGGTAACACTTTCAAGGGTTTCTTTTCCTTTCTTTGTCTGACTGTCTATCTCTTGAATAGATTCTTTCACCTTAGCCTCAAAAGCATCAATGGACGATTGCACTGCACCATTCAGTTGGACAAGTGAAACATTTCCCTTCTCTTCAATATCTTTTACTTTTAAGTTTATAATGTTAATCAGCTCTAATTTTCTTTCTTCAGTCTTCTGTTTGTACTCATTCATCTCATTTTTTATTTGTTCCTGAATTGTTTTTCTTACATCGTCCAAAACTTTACGTACAACGTCTTTCCCAATGATCAAATCGTCACTTTGAAGCTGAAATTATGGAAAAAGGATTGAGTGCATTGAATTATTTATTATCAATCCTTGAAGAATACTGTGTCATATACATGTATAGTGACGCATTTCATACAGGAATTGATTTAATATCTATTTATTTATTTCCATAGTCTTTTTTCACCAATGTCTTATATCCGGATTGTCCTAGCCTTTTCGAAGATGAAACAATTTGAAACATTTATAATCAAGTAATTCATGAATAATAGGAATGTAATAGAACACTTTTTAAAAAAAATATATCAAAACGAGTATTTATATTTTGTCAAATTTTCTTAAGTTAATTTTATTTCAATAACAGCAAGAATATCGCTGCTTGCATACTTTATTTCATTGAGAGGATTTTTAAAAGAAACCCAAACTATTTCAAATGTGCTTTAGAGAATAACTTTCATGGGAACTAAGAAATAATGTCCGGATTACAAAGTTATATTTAACATAATTATTGTTTTATTTTGAATCATTATGTATAATCAATTTAGCCGTTGTGTTAAGTTTGATCGTGGCTTTACTCTTGAAACAGCTGAAAAGCTTTTGTTTGATGAATAACTTTAAAGGCAATACCACTACATTCCAAGATTATTTAATGACCTCTTATTTTGATCTTAAAACATGTGTTAAGTCTCAAGTGGAAACTTTTGGCATTTCTGAAGATAGAGTCGATGGTGTATGCAAAACTTAACAAAGAGCTTTCTTATTTCATAAAGCGCCGAAATTCAGTCAAAAAATATTCTAAATATCTCAACTCAGTGGGTGATGTTAGAAGCGAATAATTAAGTTTATGACCCCCGTTGAGTAGGAAACCCTCACTATTATTCGTAAAGTCGTTATAGAAAATTTAAACAACTAGAACTGTGTCCAAAGGACACGGATGCCCCCCACTGACAACATATATATGGTATATAGTGAAAAAATAAAAAAGGCCATAATTCTGTAAAATTTGGTCGCAGCAAAAGTCCCTTCACACATTAAGATTGTTCATCCCTGGAAGTTTAAGCAAAATCTGCCATCCGGTTTAAGAGGAGTTGCGATCACAAAATTTCTATATGGTATACAGTGAAAAAATCAACAAAGGGCCATAATTCTTTTAAATTTGGTTGCAGCAAAAATTCCTTCCTTTACTGCCATCTACACATTAAGGTTGTTCATTCCTGGGAGTTGAAGCAAAATTTGCATCCGGTTTAAGAGGACTTGCGTTCACAAACTTTCTAAATAGTATATTGTGAAAAAATTAACAAAGGGCCATAATTCTGTTAAATTAGGTCGCAGCAAAAATTCCTTCCTTTCCTACCATCTACACATTAAGGTTGTTCATCCCTATAAGTTTAAGCAAAATCTGCTATACGGTTTAAGAGGAGTTGCGTTCACAAGATTTCGGGACGTACGTACGGACAGACGTACGGACATCCTTACATTTGTATTGTTGATGGGTATTTAACTGTGTAAAAAAGTACCCAACAATCAAAGAAAATACCCAACGCACGGACGGACATACGTACGGACGGACGGACAAGTGCTACGCTATATGCTCCCCACTTTGTGGAGGCATAAAATGATTACCTTCGCCAATTTCTGAATTGCATTGTTTGGGGATTTATTCATTGCTACGAATCCAGGATCGGTCAAAATGTTGTTTAAAATGGTAAAATATTGTGTTAGATCTGTATCCTCGACCTCCAGATTAGGAGAATGTCTGACAGCTCTACCAACATCTCTGCCCTGAATGGAAATATGTTAATATAGTTTGGTCAAGTGAATAATTGATACGATATTTCTTTAACAAATATACGTTTAAGATGAATCTCAACAAATTGCATTATGACACTTGTATGACATAGATGGACAGACTGTGATTTGAAACAAAAATAACAAAACGGTGTTATGTAGTCAATTGCTCGTTCATACTTGTTTCAATAATGACTCGTATGATATTAAATTATTACCCTTCCAGATTTTTTCCGCCTTTTTGATTGGATATTGATCACCCGAAAGAAATTGATATTACCGAACTAGACGGGTAATATACACGCGATGTAAATTCCGATTTACAAGCACTTTTTAACTGTCAAATGATAAATATTTACCAAAATAGAGTAATCATACATATTCTCATCGGTATTGAAAACAAATATGACCCTGTGAAGGTTTGATATTAATTCCAAAAAAGTGCGTTCAACAAACTACTCCTTTTCTCTTGTTTACATTCGTTAGGTTCGAAAGAAAATACGTCATGTATTTATGTGACGTCATGTAGTGATGAAGGGAATCTTATTTCGACGTTAGCAATGATTAATATTAAGTTAGCATTGATTTATTTTCAAATCGCCTTAACTCGGCAGGGGAAGTGTAATAAAATTATTTTTTTTGGTTTTGGAGTGATATATGTGGATATATTACCTGTCAAGATTTTATATCACCCGAACCGTTATACAAAAATAACATATATTGCTCCCTTATATGAAGCAAACAGTTGTAAAATAGAAAGAAATTTAAAAACCAAATTGAGTATACAATAAATATGTCATAATTTAACCTTTACCTTTTCAAATATATTATTCTTCTTGGACAAGTCGTCTTGTATTTTCGCCTCAAATCCTTTGTGATTAATAATGACACTAATGATGCCATTAAAATCAGTCTCTGCAGCATTCGATACATCCTTGTATCCGTCTGGTGGGAGATAACATTTGGCAATTTCCCAAACATTGCTGCACCATTTTGTTGCGTCTGTATTTTTATACGATGGACCATGATATCGATGTGCTTTTTGAATTTCAAATTTTAGATTATGACAAATTTTATTCGGGCAGCCAGATTGGCGATATTGTGTTGCATTGTTTTTATGGTAACTGCATTTTCCACGTTTTGCGTTGCAAAGTCTGTTTGTTAGACAAACAATGAGATTTTCCGTACAGCAGTTAGAACAGGTGCTTCCGGCTGGTAGGCTGTTTGATGAGGAAATTGTATTTAGAGAGTTCTGCTGGAAATCTTTGATCTCACTGACAACAACTGGCTCTACTTCCTCTTTTGTGTATAAAACGGCTAGAGCAGCCTTTATCCAGTTGAAGAATTTAGAAGTCTGCACAGTCGGCACTGCTGTAGCCATCATATAGTGTTTCTAATGAGCTTGGTCATTGTTTACTACTCCTTAAATAAAATATGAAGTGTCATTGCAAGTAATGTATATTTTAAAAGAGCAGTAATGTTATATAATTTTGTAAGCAAAGTGTACATATTTCATAACAAAAGTTTGAAATGCGATGTCGAATGAATGTTTTTGTTTCTGCTGTTGTTGCGGTTGATATTTTAATCTGCTTTTGTTTTCAATACCATCTATATTACGCTTGAAGTGTTTTTTTCTCTATCAGATCTCTGCATAAAAAAGTAATAACGTTCAAGTTATTAAAAAAAAATAAACGAGCGTGTTTATCAAAAGATTACCAACTGTAGTGTATTAACTAAGCTGCTATGGTAGAGTTATTAAAGGTTTAATAAATATTTGCTACTGATACTATTTGTTAGCGTCTTATTTTGAAACAAGTGCCACCCCCCCCCCCTACGGGGGCATCACTAGATTTTTTAAAAAATTACCAGTTCATATTAAATGTTGGATATTGCTTAATCTATTGCAAGGGGGCGTGGACGGTAACTTGCACATTCTATTACCGTCCATGAACAGGGTCAATCAAACCGAGCCTGCAACATCAACATTTTCAATTTTGTCGTTTTATCGTTTTGTACGTTCCTAATTATTTTGTTTGTGGTATTTTAGTTCTTTCATGATTCGACTTTTTCTTTATCGGATAGTATTAGTATTCCTCACTTGAATACTGTAGAATCACGCATAGGAGATATGGCCTGTTTTTTTAAAATTTGTCTTTTGACGTATTATCTGTGATATGCAGGCTTCACAACCTCTAAATCCCCTTTCAAAATTCCATTTTATATATTTCCGCCCATTGTTTTATCGTTAAGGGCTAACGCATATTTTTACTTTGGGACCAAATGTCGCTTTTCGTGGAATAGCACTAACGTGTCTTATTGAAAGTTCCATGAAAACCGCAAAATAAACATCTGCGGATGTTTCCAAATTCCAAAATGTTTTACTCTGATAAAGTTTGTGCTAGAACTTGCACATTCCATTACTGTCAATCAAACCGAGCCTGCAACATTTTCAATGTTTTTGTTTTGTATGTCTTTACGGATTTTTTTATATGCCCGAAAAAAATTCGGGCATATTATGTTTATCCCCCAGACGTCCGTCCGTCCGTCCGTCTGTCTGTCCGAGCAAACATTTGGGTTTAGGGGCTATTTAACAGTAAAGAGAACAAAATAGAACAATAGGTTCATTCGGTGATCAAAGGGTTTATAGGCTAGTAGCGCTTAGGAAACAAAGAAAATAACAAAGAAAATAGCCCCTAAACCCAAAATGTTGGAACGTCCGTCGGTCCGTCCGTCCGTTAGCAATTTGATTTCCGGAGCATAACTTAAGTTCAATTTGGCCCACAATATTTAAACTTCAAAGGATGATTGTCCATATTAGGTAAAAAGACACTTATTGATTTTGGGGTCACAAGGTCAAGGACAATATGACCTTAAAACTCAAAACAGTTTCCGAAGCATAACATAAGTTCCGTTTGGCCCACAGTGTTCAAACTTCATAGGATGATTGCTCATATCGAGTAGAAGAACGCTATTGACTTTGGGGTCACAAATTCAAAGGTCAAGGTCATTGTTACTTTAAAACTGAAAACAGTTTCCGGAGCATAACATAAGTTCCATGTGGCCCACAATATTCAAACTTCAAAGGATGACTGTCCATATTGGTTAAAAGACCACCATTGATTTTGGGGTCATACGGTCAAAGGTCAAGGTCACTATTTTACCTTAAAACTGAAAACAGTTTCCGGTACATAACTTAAGTTCAATTTGGTCCACAGTTTTTAAACTTAATAGGTTGATTTGTCCATATTAGGCAATAGACCCATATTGATTTTGGGGTCACAAAGTCAAAGGTCAAAGTCACTGTTACTCTAAAACTGAAAACAGTTTCCGGAGCATAACTTAAGTTCTATTTGTCCCTCAAAATTCAAACTTAAAATGATAATTGTCCATATTGGGTAGAATACCTCTATTGATTTAAGGGACACAAGGTCAAAGGTCAAGCTCACTATTTTACCTTAAAACTGAAAACAGTTTCCGGAACATAACTTAAGCTCCATTTGGCCCACAGTGTTCAAACTTAATAGGCTGACTGTCCATTTTGAGTAGAACACTCCTATTGATTTTGTGGGGTCACAAGGTCAAAGGTCAAAGGTCACTTTTACTTTAAAACTAAAAACAGTTTCCGGAGCATAACTTAAGGTATATTTTGCCGACAATGTCAAAGGTCAAGGTCACTATTAATTTAAAACTCAAAACAGTTTTTGGAGCGTAACTTAAGGTCTATTTGGCCCACAAACTTCATAGGATGATGGTCCATGTCTGGTAGAATACACCTATTGATTTTAGGGTCACAAGGTCAAATGTCAAGGTCACTATTTCTTTAAAACTGAAAACAGTTTTCAGAAAATTACTTAATTTCTATTTGGCACATAGTGTTGAAACTTCATAGCATGATTGTCCATATTGGGTAGAAGACCACTATTGAGTTAAAGGTCGCTATTACTTCAAAACTGAAAACAGTTTCCAGAGCATAACTTAAGTTCCATTTGGCCCACTTTATACGAGGATTGCTATTTGAAGGAGGTAATACTTTATTTAATTTATGTAATGTCTTACAAATGCTTCACCCTTATTAAAAACCACTTTCGGGCATATCATTATCCGACTAGCGGTGCTCTTGTTTTCCTTTTTGTCTAGTCACGATAGTTGTTTTGTTTAAGTATGACTCCTTTCCTTCCATAAAAATGATATTGTTAAGAAAATATAGATAATCGATATTCAATCATTTGAAGGCCAATGTCTTTTTAAGGTCAAGGTCATGTTGAATTATCATTCGCAGTGTCTGTTTTGTCACAAGTGTTGTTTTATTACCTATGTATCAAATTTTTACATAAATAAACAATATGACTACTTAAACAAAATTCAATACTTGATGACCATTTAAAGCTTAAGTCATGGTCAGTTCAACATTTAGAATGTCAAGTTTAAAAGGTCGTTATGTCCAAGTATAAAAATAATCAATTGATTAATTACAAAGTTACATCAAATAATAGCAAAAATCAGTGAAAATTAAATCATTTGACCATCAAGATCAATGTCAAACATAAGTCAAGGTCAATTTCAGTTTGATATACATGAAGGTATTGACCTTTAAGATGCTGTCTCTTGATATAAACTTAACAAATTTATAAATAACAAAGTCATAGCCAACTACAAAAAAAAAACAGGAGCATTTCATTAACTTGACTATGACATTTAAGGTCAATTTAGGGTGAATGTCATATCTAAATTATTCAATAAGCTTGATACAAGTACTCTTTTTTAAGTTTTAAATCAATTTCGTACATAAATAACAAAAATATGAGATCTTAACCAAAATTTAATAATTTGACATTAACGGTCAAAGTCATGTAAAGCTTTGTAACACCGCACTTTGGGGTCAAACGCACTTTGGGGTCAAAATCGAGAAATTGACCCCAAAGTGCGTAATTATGCTACATATCAACGCACTTTGAGTTCAAAAGTTCCTAAGGTGTCAAATGAGTTCAGCTTAAATACTGAGTTCTGACTTATTTTCGATCTGCGACATTGAAATATTAGATGCAGTTCAAGATGGCGGTTTGATGCTTAAGTGATAAAAGTTTCATTAATTTTACCACCTGAAATATCTAAAATTGTGTCCATATAACAAAGTACTCTAGTACATAAATTGTAAATGTATCCTAAAATTAAAAGATGCTGTAAAAATATCATGTTCTGTCAGTCATTTACTTGATAACTTTTGTGCCATATTAAGCCCCATTTTAAATAAGATGGGGATGAAATAAAATGCAGTTAATATTTTTCCTAAAAAAAACACTATAAAATACTCTATTGCAATGTTCTGGTTTCTAGACCAGACCATAAATAGTGATTTTTACAAAGACATTATTAAGTTTATCAACAAACTTAAGTTTTTTGTAAGCTCCGTAACAACCGTTCGCCAGAGGCTTTATAATGGGAAGTCTTACATACTTCTTTAGAAAGGGCAAACATGAATTGTTGATGTTTAAATAATAGTATCAGAGATATTAAAGATACTTGTTACCTGAATAAAGTTACGATAAATGTGAAAAATTGTCACAAAAGTTGCAAAATACTAATTCACTATAACTGTACTCCTTTCCAAAAAGCAGCAGATGAAAAGGATGGTTCAGATAATTGGCAAATGAGTAACTTTTTTGATACTATTGAAGTACACCAAAATTAAAAAAAGCTTAAGAAATACAAATAAAAGCACAATGAACCTTTAAAACGTTATTTTTATAATATCGGGGTGATCGGGACCCCACCATCCCGTCTGGATTTTCCACCCCAGTGAGAACTTTACATTATTGTATTTTCTGATCGCAGATCAGAAAATACAATGCTGACATTCAATCTCTGGCACAGCGCTTCACGACAAAACAGTTCTCAAAACAGCTAACAATTAGCGATGTAAAAGAAAAAAATATTTTTATTTTGCTACAAGTATCAAACAAGTTTACAACGCATTAAAAGTTTAAAAGTAGTGTTGGCTTATAGAATTGATCACAAATTACACGAATGAATATCATCTAAATCAAGGAAAATGCTATTTTTAGTGATGTCGATTACCAAATTCTTCAGATAAATCTGACTGTCGAGTAGTGGAGTATATACATGTCAGACTGTTTTGGCGAGAAGATTTTTGCTAAATCATTTACATCAGTGTTAAATAACAGGTTTATCGTGAACAAAATACCTCGAAATTAATAAGGATAACAAAGTTTAAACCCTAAAATTCTATAGAATTATTTGAGTTTATTCAGGTTTTCTTCGTATAACTTCCCCGTGGTGCAGGGGTAACGTGCTCGTCCAAGGTGCGAGAGGTCTGGGGTTCAAATCCCAGTCGAGAAGCCACGATATGCAAGGATAAAGTGTGGCTGTCATAAGAAAATGAACATAAAGGATTTTTGACGCAA